CGGCCGGGTTTCCAACCTTCTGAAGCTCCCTTGACCCAGGCCCCTTGAAAGGATCCCCTTGGTGGGCGCCAGAGGGGTGGGCACCCTCTAGGTTCCTTCTCATCCCCTTCTTCCCAACCCCCCCATTCCCCGCCCCCCACCACACACACCAGCTCCCTCGGCCATGAGCCCACAAACCCAGTCCTGATGCCCTCTCTCCGTCCTCAGCTCCCCTCCCTTGCGGTCACACAGGGCCACTACGGAGACCTGCTCAGCACCCCACCCTCACCACTCAAAGTCGGGCAGGCTCCTGAGACCTCCAGACAGGTGTGTTGAGGTCTCTGGGTGGGCGAGACCATGTGCACCAATCTGAGTGGTAAAACTCCAAGTGTGGCAGGATGTGTGTCTGGGACTCCTGAGTGTGCAGCCGTGGGCGTGTGAGGCTCTGGAAGAATGTGTGCGTGTGTCTGTGTGGCGGGCTGGTCCCCAGGGCCTGGGCCTCTCTCCTGCATGCTGTTGGTCGTCCTTCCGTCGTCCACCTGAACCCACTGGTCCAGCCCCCACTCCCATCACCCCTTGCATCTGGTCACAGTTCATTATCCCCACATAGGGCAACGGACATGCCCTGAGGGCCCAGCTGAGAGGGAGAGCCCAAGGCAGGTCTGAGGGTCACAAACAGGCTGGGAGGTCACAGCTGCTGGTCTTGGGGGTGGAATGGGGAACTCATTCTACAACCCAGCTGTCCTATATAGTCCAACCTTGTGCCATCCCCCCACCTCCGTGCTGTGAGCCCCCACAAGTCCCTTGTGACCACTCAGTGCCCCTGTACCTGTCCTTCCAGCCGTGTTTTTGGCTACAAACTGTCACAGTATACAAGTATACATTGGTAATAAAATCTTTCCCCAACCCTTGTCTGTTGTGATTGGCTAAAAGCAGAAGTGGGCAGGGCGACATGGCATATTATTGCAGCTGGAGAAGGGTACATAGTTTAGGGGTAGACCTGGAAGAGCAGGAAGTAGTGTGGGACTCTGTGGTGCCCCACCTGTGGTGTCACAGGTCTGTAGTGTCCAGGGCAGGGTTGGTTAAAGACAGTGCCTCCCCCTTGCCGCCGGTGTCCTCCTGCCTCCCTGACAGCACCAGGCTCAGTGGTTCAACATCTGACTCCATCAGACTGGGCAGCGACTCCTGAGGGGATAGGGAAAGCAGGTGTGAAGGCAGGGCAAGCCGGAGGAGTGCTCTCTGAGGCCCTGGGGGAGCAGGCAGGCATCCCAGCCAGGTGGCTTAATCTTTGGGGATTGCCTGCCCCTCCTGGACCTCAGTTTGCCTACTGTGTCTCATGCTGATGCCGATGGGCCTGGAGGGTCGGCATGGCCTCTCCCCTTCCATGGGCACAGCAGCACTGGGAGGCCAGAGTCATGCCAGGTCTGTGCCGAGGAGCCATTCTGAGGAGATTGCAACCCCCAGTGCTGTGGCAGGCATGGTGCTGGCTGTATTCCTGGGATGCTCACAAAGGGAGGGAACGGGTCCCCATTTTATGGATGCACACACTGAGGCCTGGGGCACATTCATGGCCAGAAAGGGGCAAGGCGGGGTTTGAAAGGCTAGTCTCACTGGCACCAAGCCCTTGTCCCAACCACGGTGTGATGATGCCTGAGGTTGAGTTCAGCATCTGTCTCCTCCACCCTGTGAGGGACAGCATGGCCGGTGTCCCACCTGCAGTTCCTCTTGTTGCCCACTCATCTGTCCTGCCCTCCTACCCATTCCCGGCATGAGGTGCCGAACATGGCCACCTGCCTGTGAGCTGCTGCCTTCTTGCTCCACTGCAGAGACCCCACAAGGCCAGACCCCGCCTGCACTGCCACCCCAAGGGACCGCTCAGGGCTATTTCCAGACGGGGCTGTTCCAGTCCCTGGTGAACAGTGGCGTATCAGAGAGGGCCAGGGGCAGGTTAGACCATTCAGCCTGTGCTCCCCAAAGCCCTGGCCAATGACCCTGAACTTAGGTCTGTTGTGCATGTGGTCTGGGATAATGCCACCAGGTCTGGGAGGCTGGAGACCCCTGTTGAGGCCTGTCCCTGCATTGCAATTCCATTTCCTTACTGGTGACTTGAACAGGGGAAGGAAGGTGAAACTCCGAGGTCATTCCCCCCCATGCTCCACACCACGGTTTTGAACTCTGGGTCGCAGCGCTCCCTGCTGGCACTGTGGTGATCTGCTGAAAACCAGCATGGAAAGCCCTCAGGTCGCCCTGCGTGGGGTTTCCGGTTTCAGGTGAGTCAGCAGCACCTAGCATTTCCCTGAAACAAGCACCACCTGTGTTTTCCACCCAGGGACAGGAAGGGGCGGGAGACTCCAAAGGAGGCCAACCCCCTCAACTGTGGGGGAAGTGGGTGGAGTCTCAGCAGCTTCTGGGGGAGAATCTCAGAAGCTTCCGGAGGCATCCCACTGGTTTCCCTCAGTACTCCCCACCCCAGCCCACAGGCCCAACCTCCCATGGAGCCAGTCTCCCCTCCTCCCAGTCTCCCCTAGATGCAGCCCCTGCCTGGGCCCCCAGCCTGCTCTCTCCCAGCCACCAGTTCTGGCAGGCAAGAGGCTCTCTTCCCTATCAGTCCCCCCAGACCAGTCCCTGGAGTTTTTGTCCTAAATCACCTTCCTGCGGGGATCAGCAGTCATCTCCCTCTCCCTGGGGTCCCTCACGGCAGTCACGGGATGCCCGAGAGTGGCTTGCTGACCAAATTTTCCCAAGTCAGGGTCCTCAGGGAAATACTGACACATGAGGGGAAGGCGGGGAAGCTGGGGGGCCAGGGCTGGCAGACTGGCAGGGCTGGCATGGGCAGTGCTGAGTGGAGGGTGGGGGGGAGTGGAGGGTGGGGTGGGAGTGGATATGTAACCCTCCCTACAGAACCACAGACTCAGAATGGAGATGGGGTTTCTCCAGCTGCTCATGTCTTGCCTCTCCAGATAGAGGAGACCCTCCACTCACCCACCCACCCACCATCAGCACTAGGCACTGGAAGCAGAGGGTCTCTGCCCTGGGTCTGTGGAAGTGGGGGTCTCTAGGCTGTAATCTCTGTGGAAGCAGATCACCAGGCCTTTCTCCCTTGGAGCCCCTGGGTGAGTTCAAAGTGCCAATGTTCAGGTTAGCAGGTAAGCGCTTGCCATTGGCAAAGTGGGTTTCTACCTGCCAGGTTGCCTATATAAAGCCCTCTGACGCAAGGCCAGGGGGGTGGAAGCAGTGGGGGAAGATGCCCCATACTGAATAAGCAGCATGAGCCACTCCACCTGAGGCGACACTCTCAGAAAAGAGTCCTGTCTAGTGGATGTTGGCTCACGGTGGGTCTGTAAGTACCAGAACAGATCTGCTCCATACATAGTCCTGCCCCTAAAGTAGATCACCAGGCCATTCTGCTGAGGCACCTCTGCTCGACTCAACCCTTCAGCTTACTGGACTACAGGTGAGCACCCTGCACCATTTACTCCACCCAGGGCTCCTAGACCTGGGGCAGGGCTCAGCCAGCTGTGAAGCAGAGCCCTGCACAGGTGGCTCTGAGGTCCCTCGTGTGTGAGAACACGAGGTTCTCAAGCCAGGCTGCATGTGGGAACCCCCGGGGTGCTCTTACTTCATCCGTGTGCCCAGGCCCCACCCCAGGTCAACAGAATCAGTCTCACAGGCATGTTGCCCAGGGACTAGTTTAAGGAGCTCCCAGGTAAGTCCAGGTGGGCAGCCAGGTGGGGCCTATGGAGGTACTATAGCCGCTAACATGCTCTCTAGTTGGGCCAACTTCACCTCCTTTGCCCACTGTGTTTCTTGTCTTCCCAGTTCTCCCCCACCCTTGCTAGTGTTTATGGGGTGTTTATAAAGGGAGCCCTGGTAGTGTAGGGGCTGCAACCCACACAGTCAGCAGTTCAAAGCCACCAGCAGCTCCTCAGGAGAAATGCTGGGCTTTCTACTCCTGTAAATAGTTATAGTCTCCACAGGGGTCCTCAGGATGAGTCAGTATTGACTCAGTGGCCGAGAGTGTGGTTTGGATGGGACCGAACTTATGAGCACTCGCTCTGACCAGGTATCATAGACAGGTACTCAGACATATTCTCCCCAAAGTCATGTGGCGTGGGCTTTCCAGCCTCCATTTGACAGAGGAGAAACAGGACCAGAGACGTCATCCACCCAGCATTCTGTCGCCAACGATGGAGGGACAGGGACTGGACCCTAATCTATAGTCAGGTGCCTTCCCGGGGGCAGGTGCAGAGAGGCAAGGCACCCTCAGCTCTGCCCTGAACCCGACCCCAACAGAGAAGGATGCTGGGTCAGAAGCCCTAGGCACCAACTCACCTTCTGACTTGCTTTGATCTCCTGCTTGTCTTGGTGCAGGTTCACTGTGTTGTCATCCAGGGAGTTGAGGCTGGGGGGGGGGGGGATGGAGCTCAGGGGGATGATAGGTTGACAAGTCCTCCCTGTCTGTGACCAAAAACCCAATACCCCCACTGCCATCACCATCATTCCTACCACCACCATCACCACCACCACTACCACCACTACCACCATCACCATCACCACCACCACACCATTCCCATGACCACCACCATTGTCATCACCAATCAGCCTGCCCCAGTAGGGTCACTGCTCACCTGACATGGTCCAAGTCACTAGAAGAAGAGAGAGACTCGAAGCCCAAGTCCTTGGCGGCGAGGTTCAGTATGGGGTTGGCCCTGGAGAGAAGATTCAGAATTGGCCTTCCAGTCAAAGAGCTCCAGCCCTGAGCCACGGGGCTTCTTCGCCGCCCTTGACCCCTGCTTACCGCTCAGTGTTGTATATGTTCGTTCCCGGAATGACAGGGCCTGAGGGCATCACTCCTGCGGCCGTCATCCGGGCCTCCTTGGCAGCCTTCAGAGCCCAAAGCTTCCGGCGGTAGCTGTGGGAACCCGACAGGAGGTCACTACTTGCCCTGCACCCTGGAGTGCACCCAGTACAGGCCTATCCTGACCCTGGCAGGCGGAAATGCTAGCCCTGTTTCACACAGGCTTCGAGGAAGAGTCAGGGAAGAGAAGCGGTTCGCTGACGGCCGCACAGCTGGCCAGCAGTGGGTGTGGAATCGAACCCAGAGGTGGCTCTGACTCCATATGCATTTGGAACGGGAAAAAGCAGCAGCACATGTTAGATTCGCAGAATGTGCCAGACTTCTTGCTGGCTGTGAGATGGACATGACCTCATCAAGTGAATGCACTTGACTTCATTGAGGAATCCAGTATCATGCCCATTGTGTAGATAAGGAAACCGAGGCACAGAGCGAGAGGGACACATTCTCCGTTGGCCATGTTCTAAGATGGAATCAGCAGGGATTCAGAGCTAATCTACTTGATGCCTAGACCTTAGCGCTTTCTATCCTCCTACTGTCCCGGGCTGGAGACCCTTGGGTGACGGGAAGGGCACCTCTTCCGGAGACACACGAAGGTGATGGTCATGATCACGAGGGTCAGCAGCAAAGCCAGCGACAACCCCACGATGACGCTGATGAGCACCTGCGGCAGGTCTGACTCCTGGCTCTCCTGGGAGCCCTGAAGAAGAAGGATGGGTGAGGGGGTGCTGCTGTGGGTCAGCACCCCCTCCCCACATTCCTGGGGGCCCCTACCCTGCCCACACTCACCAGCACCACCAGGCCCAGCTGGAGCAGCTGTGTCAACGAGTCCTGGTCTTTCCGGATCAACCTGTCCACAGAGCCCGCTCAGACCCCGGGGCACTGGCACCCTGCGATGTCTCGCCCACCCTCCCCTCCCGAGGGTGACCCCACTCACACACTCAGCTCATTGAGGGTTAGGGCAGTCCCATTGTGGAAGACGAAGTAGGCATCAAGGTAGGAGCGACCCCGGGCCCTGGAATGGAGTGGGGGGAGAAGGGAGTGGCTCAGGACCACCCAGCGGTCCCCTCCCCTTGTCCTCAGCCCCCACCACTGGGCCAACATGCACTCACCGAGTTGTGGCATCTATGTCCTGAATGTTGACGATATAGATGGTCGTTCTGGTCGCCTGGGTGAGAGCCCTGTAAAGGCAACGACAGTTGCAAAGGCCTGGGGCCGGCGCCTCGGTGGACGAGTGGAATATGGGGATGAGAAACGTACACCTTCTCTGTAAAGTCCAAGCAATAGCTAGCACCTCTGCAGATCAGACATGATACCCCTTCCTCTGGGGCTGGACTCACAGCCTGGCAAGCAGCATGCCCTGTGCAGTGTACACGCTGTACAACTGTCCCTGGCAGTCCTGCTTAGGCATCTCTCTGTACAACCAGTCAGAGGCTCTGAGGACATGGGGCCCAGGGGGATAGGTGCGGAGACAGAGACAAAAGCAGGGGAGCGGTCAAGTGGGTCAGAGAGAAACAGTCTGCTTGGGTCTAGTCTAAGACCAGGCTCCCCAGCCCTGTTCTTCCCCACAGCCCCGCACCAGGCTCCCCAGACCTACGCCTTGATGTCCTCCAGGTTGGCGCCCACCTCCTCCTTGGGCACAGAGAACTGCAGCCTCACGCGGTACCTCTGGTCCACGGTGAAGAGCTGCAGAAGAAGGGTGTTGGGGGGAGGTCAGGTGTGTGCACAGAGGGCTGCCAGGGAGACCAGGGGGTCCAGCACTCACATTCAGGGTGGTCTGGGCTTTCTGGACATCACCCATGGAAGGTTTGTCCTGGGCCTGGATGGTCACCTGGTAGGTGCCCTGGAGAGTGGAATCCAGGTTGGTCACCAGCCTGGGGAAGGTGAGAAGAAAGCTCAGGCTTAGAGCTCAGCTACACGCCTCTGGGATTCACTTGTCTACCTCCCAGGACAGGGGGCTCACTGCCTGGGACAGTGAGACTGGCGGCCCCCTCAGATCCCAGGGCCTGCCCGTGGTTACTCAATGTTGCCAGTGAACACGCTGTCCTTCGAGGAGGTGGCAATCTGGAAGAAGCCCTGGAAAGAGGTGGTGGCCCCGTCGTTAGAGAGGAAGTTCACTTGGAGGATGGAGAACTCGATGGCCCCATTGTCCCCTGAGTCGTTGTCTCTGGCCTAGGAGCAGGAGTGGATGGTATCAGGGAGCCACACTTGACACCCCACAGACCGCAGCAGGAGCCAGAGTCTGGGTGACCCAGGAAGCTGGCCCCTGGAATCCCCTTGTCACCCCTATCAACTGAGGGTAGAGGGTTTCCAATGGCAGATTTTCCAGATCACCAGGCCTTTCTCCTGAGGCACATCGGAGGTACTCACATCCCCACCTTTGATTCATAGCCAAGCACTTGACTCAGATAGAGCATCCTTCAGCCACGTCGAGCAGCAAGTGTGTCACACAAACAGCGGGCATGTTCTACAAGTCTAGGCTTGCACACATCTCAGACCACAGCCAGGAAGTCTCCCCACGGGGGAACCCGGCCCTGCCCTATGCCCCCACCCCACATTTACAACACAGAGACTTTCAGATTTCCTGCACACCCCCCTGTGCACCAGGCAGGCCCTCCCTGGGCCCTGTCATCCCAGTGTCTGCCAATGTGAGACCAATTTCCCTTAGGGGACCGAAAAATGATTTGGGGTGGGATGGAGGTAAACATTTTTGCCTATTCTCACCGCATTCTGGTGGTGCGGTGGAGGAAGCATTGGGCTGCTAACCACAAGGTCAGTGGTTCCGATCCACCAGCTGTTCCTTGGGGGAAAGATGAGGCTGTCTGCTCTGTCAACACTGACAGGGCCTGAAACTCCATACAGAGTTGCGTTGAGCAGGAATCCACCCGATGGCAGTGGATATAGTTGTTGGTTTGGTTTGGTTTGGGTTTTATGAGTTGGAATCAACTCAACGGCAGTAGGTATGTGTGTATCGGTGCAAAGTAAACCAATTCACGGAGCTGTGAGGCCACTGGCAACATTGCTCAGGATGAGGCCCAAGCTGGTGCTGTTTCAAGAAGGAGTCCATTGATAGGACATTGATAAACAAGTAAGGTACACAGGTTCATCACTGAAGGCTCTCTGGCCAGCACTGGGATGCAATTGGCTGCGATTTAGGAAATGGAGAAACTGACTTTTTAGGCTTGAAACTCTCCCTGCCCAGGGCCTGTCCCACTAGTTGCTGACTCATGGTGCTGACTCATGGCGTTTCCGTGGATGCAAACATATGAAGTAGACCTGCACTCCATAGGGTCTTGAAGGCTGTGCTTTAGGAATAGGTTGCCAGGCCTTTCTTACAAGGCACATCTGGTGGCGTGGAGTAGACACTCTTCAGTTAGCTGCACCACCCAGGGGCTCCTGGAGCACCCAGAGAGGGACACTCCCTGCCCCCATTTTACAGAGCGTCCAGAGAGGTGCTGCTTCCCCGAAGGCACACTCATAGCAGAGGGCTGGCCCTCAGAGACCACCCACCTCATAACCCTATTGCCAGGGACTAATGTCTCTGAGGCATCTGATTTGCCAACTTCATGCCCAGGAAGAAAGGATCCCTGGTGGTGTAGTGGTTACATGCTGGGCTGTGATCCGAAAGGTCATTAGTTCAAACCCGCCAGCTGCCACTCTTCAGGAGAGAGAGAGATGTGGCAGTCCGCTTCTGCAAAGATACAGCCTCGGGAGCCCTGTGGCGTGGTTCTACTCTGTCCATCGGCCTCCCTATGAGGTGGCATTGACCAGAGGGCAGTGGGGTGTGTCCAGGAGGGGAAACTGAGTCCTAGAGCGGGGTGGCAGAGCAGGAAGAGGCCCCCCAGTTATTGCGAGGGGCTTATGCTTCCACACAGCATCACCACCACCTCCTGCTAAACACACTCCAATTCAGCCCCATCAGCTCATTGTTATAATGTTGCTTGGGAAATTATTTAGCCACAAGGAACTCATTTAATTTACAACTGGCTACGGCATCTCTGTAACACTCAAGAACTGTGATGCAGTGAGAAAAATGTAGCCTGCAAGTGGTTTTCATATTCATGACATTTTGATAAATACTAACTGTAGCAGTTAATGACATCTGATCACATCAATTAGGTGGGTGTTAACATCCATCCTGGGGTTTCCTCTCCTTGTGAGAGAGCCCATACATTTCCTTCCTGGTGGTCAAGCTTTTTGGGGGGAGCATCCGAAAGGCCTGGAAGCCTTAACGCTGTGTAGATTGGGGCTAATGTGACACCAGCTACCAAAGGGTGGAGCCAAAGACTCACCTGGACAGAAGCCACCTGCTGGTTGGGCATCACAAGCTCCGGAATGATCACTACAGGTGTGAACAGGAAGCAGGCAGTGAGGGCAGGGCTCAGAAATCATCCCTCTGGAGCCCAAGGCAGCTATTCCAGAGCCAGGGGTTAGTTAGGTGTCATCCAAGTCCCATTTCACAGAGAGGAAACGTGAGGCCCGGAGAGGCATGGCCCTGGGTCAGACATGAACTGGTGCAGAACTGAGGGGAAGCCCAGGCCTCCCCTCCTGCTGGAACGCTGGAGCGAGGCTGGGTTGGAGACCTCTCTCCATGTTTAAGGTCCCACCTGGGGCCTGAGGAGGGTCTATGGGCGCAACCAAGGGGGTCCTAGTCAGTTGGACTCAAGGTATGTATGTGGGGGGCGGGGGTTGCAAGGAGGGTGAGAGGCCGCTGCTTACCGAAAGTCTTATTCTCCGGAAGGAAGTAGGGTGCATTGTCATTCACATCCTCAATAGTGATGGGGAGGCTCCCTAAAGGACAAAGTGATTGGCTCTGGGCTCTGAGCTCTGGCCCGGGACCCATACACCCTGCAGCCCCCCTCTGGTGCACCTTCCCCCGGGGTGCCCTCCCACCTTCTCCAGCCTGAGTGGGAGAAAGTGACATCTCCACCCCTCAAGAGAGCCACGGTGGGCAGCTTGTTCAGAGACTGGGTCCAGCCCAGGTATGTCCCTGCTGTCCACGACATGACACTGATCCTTGGTGCCTAAGAGCTGCCTAAGCTCTTAGGGGCTGCAGCTTATGTTCCCCACAGGGACCGCCTACCTTGAGGATCAGGGGGCTTACGAGGTACCTGGCATAGTTCTCACCTGTGGCAAGGACTCAGTATAAACTACCTGTTAATATGGCTACCGTTGTTATTTGGGGTCCCTGGGTGGTGCCGTTAGTTAAAACACCCGGCCACTAACTGGAAGGTTACTTGTTCAAGTCCACCCAGGGGTGCCATGATAGAAAAGCCAGGCGATCTACTTCTGGACATCAGTCCAGAAACCCTCTGGCTGTCACTGAAATGGACATGGAAAATCGGGGGGTCAGGGAGACCAGAAAAGGAAAAAACTCAGAGGATATATAAAGGTCTCACATATTGGGGGGGTGGGGCGGGAAATATCAAAAGAACACAGTTCTATGTGACACACCTGGGGCTGTCATGGGTTGGACTTAATGACAGCCGATTGCTTACTACCCGTTGGTGTCAGAGGTGGGACATGGATTCACCCCTCTCTGACTGTGAAGCGTGCTCTTTCCTTGACACCACCTCGCAAAACCACGGCACCAGGAAAGTGCTGACTATGTGCCGGGCACACCACTCAGTGGAAGTGGATGTGCGTGCTCCCCCTGAACCTTCACAAGCTGCCAGCAGGCCGCCTGGACACACGCTTAGGCGAGGTGCTAGGACTTGCTCCAGCAATACCGATGCACCAGAACCCAAGCAGATTTGAACCCAGACCTGTGGCCCCCCCACCCAATGCGCAGTCCCTCAGTCCCTGAACTGCAGCCTGCCATGTCCTGCAGGCTGTCTCCCTCACCATTGGCACTGTAGGCCTCGAAACGGGGGTCTGTCGTGACGTCATGGGCCCGCACAACCAGAGTGACCAGGTCACAGAGCTCGTAGTCAATGGCCTTGCTCTCATTGATGAGCACAGAGCCGTTGGGCATCACGGAGAACCAGCCATGGCACAGGCTGCCCACGTCAACCCCAGCCTTGGTGCAGATGACGTTCATGAGCTCAATCTCCAGCTGAGCCTGGGTGTCCTTGTCCTGGGCAACCACCCGAGCCACTGTGCCGTGTGCCGAGCCATTCTCAGCCACTCGGATGCCCCGGAGTGAGTCCGGTGTCAGGGTGGGAGGGGTGTCGTTCACGTCCTCCACAATCACAGAGACCGTTGCTGTGGCTTCCATCTGTGGATCGGGGTCTGTGGCAGTCACTGTCAGAGCGAAGAAGGCCTGCGTCTCATAGTCCAGACTCACGTCCATGGGCAGCTGGAGCCGGCCGATGGCCTGGCCGGGCCCCAGCTGCGAGCTTCGGATCAGGAAGTTGTAGGAGTTGTTCCCTGCCAGACTGAAGCTGATGCGGTTATTGGCTTCTGTCTGGTCCGCATCCCAGGCCTCCACCACGCCCACCAGCACTCCTGTGGATAAGGGCAGAGGGTGGAGGGATCCCTGCCTGGCCACTGGGAGCCTCCTCTGCCGTCTCCTCCCTTGGGGACTACCCACCCTCCCTGTGTTGGGTCATATGCCACAGGGTGGCCTGGGGGAGCTTACCTGAGACCCTCTCCTTCACTGTGAAGTTGTAGGTGGACTGGCTGAAGACAGGCAGGTTGTCATTGATGTCCTACAGGCAGAGGCAGGCCTGAACCCTCGGAACCCTGGCAGGCTTTGGGGTGCTCCCACCCAGAGCCCACCTCGGCGGGCAGTGGGGGATGGGAGGAGAGTATCCAAGGGAGATGTCTTCTTCCATAGGGAAGACCTGGGTGTCATTCCTGGCTAGTGGCCCTTCCATACAGCCACCACCTATCTGTCAGCAGAGGGGGGCTTACAGAGGAGCTTTCAGACCAAGATGAACAAGTGAGAAAGGACTGGTGAGCTACTTCCCAAACTCTTGGGACCCCAACAGCCGGATGGGCAGCCCACGGTCAGCTTGGCGCAGGGCTGGGCAGCAGCGCTTCATTCCCCTGCACCTGGGGCCGCCGTGAGCCGGGTGCCCAGGAGACAACAGCTCTCAGACCCGATCTGAGAAGCCAATACAAGAGGTGTGCAAGTGTCCGTGGACTAATCCCACGACCTTCCCATTCTCTTGTCCCACAAACTGGTTGGAGCCCCCTCCGATGTCCTCTGCTCTGAGTCTCGAACTTTCATCCATGTCTCCTGACACTGCCACCTGGTGGGGTGGTGCCCTCATTTCACGGGCAAGGAAACTGCTTCCCCGAGAGGCCAGGGAGGGCCCAGGTCACCCGCCTGGATTCTGGATTCGGCGACTATGGAGGGACCGCTGTAGTTAGGGACAACTCCACCACCAAGCCGCCCTCCCCCGCTTTGAGACCCTGCTTTCTTGAGGGAGGAGGGGCCCTGGGTGGTGCGGATGGGCACCATGCTCGGCTGCTAGCAGAAAGGCTGGCGCTTCAAGCCCACCCAGAGGCATTTCAGAAGAAAGGCCTGGGGCTGGACCTCGAAAAATCAGCCGTTGGCCACCCCAGCGGGCACAGTTCTCCTCTGGCCACGTGAACGCCACAGGTGGGAGCCGAGGGCAGCTGGAGCGGTTCTAGGACGGGATGGGTCCTGCCCTGTCTGCGTCTCCGCCAGGCCCAACTTGAGTCCCCACTGCTCAGATGTCTTACGTTGGCACCTCTGTTTGCTACCATTATGCTCCCCCAATGCCGTGTGGCCCCAGCTTTGCCTCCCTCCCGTCCCTCCTCCCTCTCCTGTTCCAGCTGACCCCAGATATGGGCTCTGCGCTCAGGCCAGAGCTGGGTCCTGAGCGCTTTTCAGCGCTTGTCTTCCCTCTGGGCCCTGACCCGCTCTGCTGCCCACAGAGAGCTCCCAGCCCTTGTCCCAGTGTGGAGACCACGCTGCCTCGCGCTTCCTCCCTCAGGCTGGGGCGGGCGCACTTGGGTGCTCTGGCCCCGCCCAGGTCTGCTCCAGGTCCCAGGGGACTCTCTAGAGGGCGACATCCTATTGGGGGGGGGGTGCCTTTTTGCTTTCAGCCTTTCCTATGGTAACACCAGACTAAACAGCTTTGGAAGTGGGGTTTGCTCTGCCTTTAGAAGTAGGTGTATTTTCGGAGAGCAAGTTCCTGACAATGAAGTGGCTGGGTCGACAACACCCACGGCCAGCTGCTTCTTGGGGCCATCCTCAGTCTCGGCAGGGTTAAGAGCACAGCGCTGAGGCCAAGCCGGCTCTACCTCTGGTCCCCATGTGCCTTGGACCTCTCTGGACCCCACTGTCCCCATCTGCAAACTGGGGGTGACAGGTTCCACTCACAGGACTGCTGTGAGGACCAGCTCCTGGAAGTGCAGAGACGTGGCTCACTTCTAAGTTCAAGGCTGCTTCCTCCCCTCACTGTACAACGCCCTGCAAGGCCCCGCAGACACTTCTGCTTCTATCGGTTTCTCTTTGCTTGGGCTTTGTCTTTTTCTCTGCGGTCTCTTTTCTTGATGTATATGTATTTCAAAGGCACATCCCTGCCCTGGAGGGTGTGGTGGCAGAGGCTGTGCCCTGCCCAACACAGGGAGATGCTGCGCCCGTCACGGACGTGGTAGAGGTGCGTAGTTATTGCACGTTTCCAGAGGAAGGTGGCATACGGTCTGGTGCAGGCCTAGAACCCGCTCCATGACCCTAGGCTGCTTCAGAGGCTCTGTTTCCTCTTCAATGCAATGGCAAGGGTCAGGTACCGTAAATAATATGCCAAAACCCACCAACCCCATTGCTGTCGGTTCTAGTTCACAGGGACCCTATAGGGTTGAGTAGAACGGTCCCTTCAAGTTTCTGACACTGGAGGTCTCTACAGGAGTACAAAGCAGAAAGCCGTATCTTTAGTCCATGGAACCACTGGTGGTTTTGAACTGCTGACCTTGAGCTTAGCAGACCAACGCATAATCTACTACACCATCAGATAGCCTTAGTGGCCCTGTAGGATGGAGTAGAACTGCTTCCTAGGGCTCCCAGGGCTGCAAATCTCTATTGGGGCAGACAGCCTCATCTTTCTCCTGAGGAGCAGGTGGTGGGTTTGAGCCTCTGAGCTTTTTGTTAACAGCCTGCTTAGTCCATGTACCACTCGGGGTCCTGGAAGAGAACCTAGCGAGTGCTTTCTCTCCCCTTCTCTTCCCTTGACTGGTGGCAGGAGGCTTCCAGGTAAAACCTTGTTAACTAATAGGAGGGCTAACACCCAGAGCTCCTGTGTGCCAGGCTGGATCCCAGACCCTGTCTATGGGTTAAAGTGCACCATCATTGCATTTTCTTCATCCCAGGACCCTCTTACCTGCCACACTGCAAAGGGCAGAAATGTGACCTAGGACCAGGGAGCTCCCAACGCCGGGCCAGCAGGCTGTGAGGCTGTCCCAGCACCCAGCTCCAGCTGAGCCTGGCCTTACCTCTACGTTGATGGTGACATTGACCTCAGTGCTGAGAACAGGCATGCCACTGTCAGCCACGCACACTGTCAGCACGATGCGGCCCCCCAGGGCAGGGTCGATGGCCTCGCGGTCCAGGGGCCTCAGGCTTGTCAGGAGCCCTGTGCTGGCATTCACTGAGAAGTTTTGGCTGTAGGGGCCAGGCAGCAGGCTGAAGTGCAGGCGGCTGTTGTTGGTATTGGGCTCGTCCTCGTCGTGGGCCTGGGGAGACGGAGCGGCATCAGCATCAGCACCAGGCAGCCACCAGGCTCCCAGCTCCCTCTCATTGACTTGGGCCAGGAGCTAGCAGGATTCTGGTCTAGCTCCCAGCCTCAGCCTCCTAGATAAGAGGATCAGATCAGGAGTTTTTAATAGCTTTCTGCCATTCACTGATGGCACACCTTCCACGCGCCAGGCCTGTCCCAGACCCTGGGAGCAGAGCTGTGATCAGCACAGCTTCTTGTGGAGTGGCACTCTAGTCGGGAGGAAGGAGGACCATAAAGCCAGAGTGGAGCCAACCGAATTCTGAGAGTCCCAGGATGTCCACTTCGATGCTATATTTTTTAAAATAGTGAATGCCTCATCCAGTGTGTGTGTGTATGTGTGTATGTTTCTGCCCTGCTAGGGCTCTGAACACATGCTTGCTTGAACTTGGGTATAATCCAGCCCAGACAGCAATCCATGCTACAGTGCCTTTGCACGTGCTGTTCTTGCCCCCACGATGCCTTCTCCACCTGATTCTTCCTCTGGGCACACCCTAGCCCCTGTACCACCCTTGAAAAGCACAGGTGGTAATGTGAGGGACTATCTGGTGCCTCCCCTCACCTGTGAGTCACCTAGTGGCAAGAATTGTAGTGGATTGGTTTCTGAGGACCTGGGCCTGCGGCACAGCTGCTGTTCTGCAAATGTGGCTTTGAAGGCAGAGCTGGGATAGTCTAACTCGGAACGTGGTCTTGATTCCAGCTCTGTCTTTTCAGTTCTGTTGGGATCTTGTTCATGAAATACTTCCTCTGTGAGAGGTCAACGCTGGTTTTTCCAAAAGCCAGATCCTGCGTGTTGGGTCCCCCATCCTCCAGCCAGCTCATTTACCCCACTCCCTGGGGCCTACATTGTGTCAGGTGGGGTGCCAAGCTTGCAGGGGCAAGTCGGAGCTGCTCCATGCCCCAAGGAGCTCAGGAGCTAGGCTAAGAAGTCTCGGGGATCAAGGAGGAAGGCCCTGGTTTCAGAGCCCGAGAGGCCTGGGCTCCAGCTCAGCCCTGCTATACACGGGCTGTACACCTGCCAGTAGTCACTGACCCTCTCTGAGCCTTCTGTGCTCTCCCTCTGGGATTGGGGGTAATCTGGTCTCGGGGCCTGAATGAGGTCAGGGACAGAAATGTGCGCTGTCGACTGCACAGACAGAGAAGGAAGAGGGGGCTCTGTGGCCATGTGACTACCATTCTGAGGGTCTGGTATCCTGCGTCTCACGAGTACCCCTTCTCAGTGCCCAGGGGCGATGCTGCCCATGTTTTCGTGACCAAGAAAGAAGTTTCTCTGTAGCCGCTAGTCACGTTTTCATCCCAAAGGCCGTGAAGCTGACCGCTGCTCACGTTGCTTTTTCCGTTCTGGCTGCTAGGAAGCGAAGGGCTGCCTTTACAGCTCCCCTCTGCCAGCGTGAGGCCCTGGGTTCTAACTCCACCTCCAGGCCCTTCCACAGCGACACCCTGATTTTCTCGGCACCCTCAAGTATCTCTGTATTTTAAACACCCCCGCCCCCTTCGAATCATCTCTCTAGAGCGAGGCAGGGTCATGAAGGAATGGAGGAGAGCGAGCTGGGTTGGAGGGTCTGCTCTGGGTTGGCTCTGCACAGAGCACTTCGTGACTGTGATCGCATTCTTCCCCGTGCCCCTCTGGCTCCTTGGTACAGTGAGCCTCATTCCCCAAGAAGAAGCAGAGGCTCAGAGAGGCTGAGCCACTCTCTCAGGCCCACACTGCAGCAGAGCCCAGCAGGACCGCAGAGCCGGCTCTTCCCAGGCCACCCTGCCCGGGGCTGGCTGGCACCTGGATGGTCAAGGAGACATGGTCCCACTTCTCTTGGACAAAGATGTTGTAGGAGCCGCTGACCACGGGCGGATTGTCATTGATGTCCAGCAAGTGGATCTCTAAGGTGGTGGAGTCCGACAGGTTCCCGCCGTCCTTGGCCTGCAGCGTGAGGATGTACTCGGCCTGTCTCTCTCGGTCCAGTAAGGTGCTGTTCCTCACGGTCACCGTCCCTGTGTTGGCGTCCACCTCGAAGATGTTATCCCTGTACGGAGTTGCCAGGATCACGAATGAAAACTCAGGGGACCCAGGGCCATCGAGGTTCAGATACACCACCAAAGATTTTTAAGCACATCCCATACCGATTTGCAACATACTTATACTAAAAGGCGATTCGGGGCTTTCTCTGAAATTCACAGATGGTCTTTTATCTGCAACCCGAGCCTTGTGGTGAGGCAGAAAGGCTTAAGCCCTGCCTGCCCACCTGTCTGCCCACTGCCTTCCGACCCTAAGGCCTTACCTGTTCCCCTGGGTCAGGGCATAGGTGATGTGGCCGCCCTCACCTGTGTCTGGGTCAGTGGCCTGGGAGGCAAAGAGATGACGGGGGCATGGTTTAAAAGCAATGGCATTGGCTACCAGCACTCCAATGATTGGGGATAGAGCTATCCTGCTTCCTGACACAAAGAGAGAATGCCCCCAAGACACACCCAGGGACACACACCCATTCTGTGTACACACTCACACAGGCAGGCTGCTTGCTCAGATCTAGTGACTCTGGTTGCCACAGAAGCTAAGGCCACAGTCCCCAGCCCAGCCCAGCTGTGCCCTACATCGCTCACATGTGTGCTATCGGTGATCACAAAGCCATTGGCACTGTGCTCTGGCACAGTGAAGATATACAGCGGCTTTGGGAATTCGGGCCTGTTGTCATTGATGTCTATGATGTGGATGGTCACAGTAGCAGTGGAAGAGTCCTTGCTGACCAAGTCAGTGGCCACCACCTGCAGGCAGGGAAGAGGCAGCACACTGAGATCAGACGGCCCTGGCCTCCCCTCCCCAGAGCCCGCGCCCCTGGATCCTCACCTGTACCACCATCACGGTCCACTTTTCATAGTCCACCAGCTCTGAGTCCCTTACCAACACCTGAACTTCCGCGGAGTTTGCAGCCCGCTCAGGGGAGACACTGAAGGCTGCCGCTTCAGGGCCTCTCAGGGAGAGCAAGAAGGTGCCGTTGATGCCCTGTGAAGGCAGGCTGCTTTAGTAGGAACCCATCCCCCTGTCATGCAGCCACCTCACCTTTCCCCCAACCTTTGACCCCAGGCTCCTGCCTCAGGAAGCCCAGCCCACTGAGGTCTCATGAGAGCCGTGCTGTCAGAGGCTAGAGGGAGAAGGAAGGAGGCCCAAGGGGCCTGCCCTGGTCACCAATCCCAGAACTTGTGGCACTGGGTATCCCAGAGCTGGGGTGGGTTGACAGAGCCAGGATATGTACTCCATTAAAGTATCATTATCAGCCCTCCTCAGTGCACGCTAGGCTGCAACCCGCAAGGTCAGCAGTTCAAAATCACCAGCTTCTCCTTGGGGGAAAGATGGACCTTTCCACTGTCATAAAGAGTTACAGTCTCAGAAGCTCACAGGGACAACCCTGTCCTATAGGGTTGCTATGAGCTGGCATCGACTTGATGACAGTGAGTTTGGAAGCACCACCCCCAACTCATCATCGACCAATCCCAAATACCAACACCCGACACCATCCAGTGCTCCACACCACTCCACAACTCAGTACTACTGTGGGGCAGTGAAGTACTTGATATGGTTCTTCTGGCCATAGTCTTTGGACTCCCACCAAACAACTGGATGCAACCATGCAAATCGGACGGATGGAAGTCTAACATAGGGATTGGTCGCTTTTGTCATTCTGCCGGGTATGAAACATGGGGGATCTCACTGCTATCAAGAAAGAAGAGCCAGCAGTAGAGCACATTCCTTGGACCTGGAGATCCCTGCAAGCGGAACTTCTTGGATCCAGGCGATAGAGAGCTGATACACAGAGGGGTTGCAGAGGAGTGACGGCGGCAGACTCGGAGCTAGAACAGGCCACAGAGTGGCATGTTTCATCGTGCTCAGAGTAGTAAAGGTGAGCACTTTCGGGCAGAAGACTTGCTATTGGAGTGATGCGCCTCCAGGCACCTACTGAGGGGGGTGGGGCATGGAGTGAGAGCTGAAGCAGATGGTAGAGTGGAGTCTCCCTTGAGCAAGTATTGGCAGTGATTAAGTAGCTTTGGAACCCTTGCCTGAACAGGGCAGAGGACAAAGAGCCTTGTGGCTGAGAGGCCAAAGACCAGAAAGAGGCTGCCTGCAGACACCATGGAAAAAAGGCCCTCCTGACCAAGAGGACTGTATCCTGAGCATTTCTTATCCTGAATTGTAACCCATCAAGTTCCCTAATAAACCCCGTGCTCACGAATATTGCCTGTGCAAATGATCAAACCCAGTAGAGAGTGATGTAGGAGGGTCAGTTCCTGTCACAGCGGTAAAAACGGGTTGGCCTAGACATATCTGACCTCTGCCTCATAGGAATGGGCCTTAGGTTGATGTTGAGTTTGATACTCATTTTGCCTTAGGAAGTTAGAGGAGGTTAGATATTGCCCCCTTGCCATATCTTAAAAACACCCTCCACTCGACCCCAGCCACCAGCCCAACACCACTCTCCATTCAACACCCATGCCGACCAACATCGCCTGTCTGTCATACAACACCAACCACCAATTCAACATACCATTCACTCAAAACCAACCACTCCCAAGGACTGCACTGTGAAAGTTCTTAGAAGGAAACACAGGGGCAGGGCTGCAGGGCCGAGTTATTAATGGCGGATACTCCGAAATGACTACAAAAGTATGAATGGTGAAAGCTGAATGAGATGAAAGAGATCTCATAAAACAGAAATATTTTGTTCATCAAAGGACTTTACCAACACAGCAAAAAGATAGCCTGAATTGGGATTCAACACTCAGAAGCCACACATCCAATAAGGATCTAGTGTAGAAAAACTATATTTCAAACCTCTACAACTTAACAACAAAAAGGTAAACATCCAATAAAAAAGGACAAAAGACTCCCGTGGAACTCTAGTCAAAGGGACAACAAGCACAAGGAAGGAGCTCAGCCTCATTAGTCATTCCAGGCAAAACTCAGTTGCCTGTGAGTCGATTCTGACTCATACTGGTCTAGAGGATAGGGCCTCGGGAAAGCCTCTTGACCTTCCCCTTGAGCATAGAACAAGGTGAATGGAAGAGATGCTGTAGTAAAAGGGCTGAACAGAAGACGTCAAAAGGAGTTCCAAAGGGAGCGCCCAGAGAAAGCGGAGTACTGTGATGAGATGTGTAAAGAACTGCAGCTAGAAAGCCAAACGGGAAAAACACCCCTACGCTTCTCAAGTTGAAAGAACTGAAGAAAGCAAATCACGTCTTGTGTTCAAACATCAAAGGTTTCTCTGGGCAAAATATGGAGCAACGCAAAAAGCATCTAAAGAAAACGAGTGGAGTACACAAGGTCACTGTACCAAAAAGAACTGGTCGACATTCAACCATTTCGAGAAGTCGGATAAGACGAAGAACCAATCGTATTGAAGAAAACAGTTCAAGTTGCTCTGAAGGCATTGGGAGAAAACCAAGACTCCAGAAATTGATGGACTGAGAGGCTTCAAAACAGAGGTGCAACGCTGACGGGAAGAGATCCATATCCATGGCCATGTCCATTCCAAAGAAAGGTGATCTAATAGCATGTCAGAATTATCAAACAATATCATTAATCTTACACGCAAGTAAAATTTTTAAAAATCATTTTTATTGGGGGTTCTTGCAGCTCTTACAACATTCCATACACCAATTGTATCAAGCATATTTGTCTATACGTTGCCATCGTAATTTCCAAAACATTTTCTACTTGCGCCCCTAGTATAAGCTCCTCTTTGTTCCCCACCCTCCCACCTTCATGAATCCTTGATGAAGCCTCAAGTAAATTTTGTTGAAAATGATTCAAAATTGGTGTAACCGGACATTCATTGGCAGGGAGCTGCCAGAAATTCAAGCTGGAGGCAGAAGAGGGTGAGCATTTGGGCTGAAAGCAGAGAGCGCCATAAAGATGTTTGCTTGTGTGTTATTGACTAAGCAAAGACACACGACTGGATCATAGCAGGTGCTGGATAACATTGCAATGAGTGGGAATTCGAGAACACTTCGCTGTGCTCATGTAGAATATGCACCTCGATCAAAAGGCAGTTGTTTGAACAGGACAGGCAGATACTGGACTGAGTGGTTTGAAATCAGGAAAGGTGTTCTTTGGGGTTGTATCCTTTCACCACACTTATTCAATCTGTGTGCTGAACAAATTATCTAAGAAGTTGGACTAAATGGAGAAGAATGATTGGAGGAAGACTCGTTTAACAACCTCTGACGTGCAGATCGCACAGCTTAACTTGCTGGAACTGAAGAGGGTGTGACGCACAAAGACTACAGCCTCCCATAGGGCTTACACTTCAGTGTCACTGAAGCTAAATCCTCACAACTGGACCAAGAGGCAACAACATGTTCAGTGGAGAAAAGAACAAAGTTGTCATGGATTTTATTTTACTTGGATCCACAATCAATGCTCATGGAAGCAGAAATAAAGCAACATATTTAGGCAAATCTGCAGCAAAGACCTCTTTAAAGTATTTAAAAGACAAGGTGTCATTTGAGGCCTACAGTGACTGGAGCCGAGCTTCATCAGTCATCTCATATACATGGGAAAGCTGGACAGCAGGTTAGGGAAGACCAAAGAGGAGTTGATGCCCCTGAACTTGGGTGTTGGTTGAATAATACTCTACATACCATGAACTTGCAGAAGAATGGAGACATTCGTCTTAGAAGAAGTGCAGCTAGAATGCTCCTTAGAAACAAGGGTGGCGAGACTTTATCTCGCGTCCCTGGAGAAGAATACCATGCTGGGTAAAGTAGTCGTTGTTAAGTGCCTTCGAGTCTGTTCTGACCCATAGCAACCGTATGCCCAATAGAACGAAACACTGCCCGGTCCTGCTCCGGCCTCACAATTGTTCCTGTGCCTCAGCCCATTGTTGCAGCCATGGTGTCAGTCCATCTCCTTGAGGGCCTTCCTCTTTTTCGCTGCCCCTCTCCTTTACCAAACCTGGTGTCCTTCTCTCGGGACTGGTCTCTCCTTACAGAAGTCTGTAAGATGAAGTCTTGCCATCCTCGCCTCTAGGGAGCACTCTGGCTGGACTTCTTCTAAGACAGGTAGTTTCGATCTTCAACCGTGATGGGAACAAGGGGCTCAGATGTCACAGCAATCGTGAGGATGGCGCGGGAGCAGGCTGGTTTCCTTCTGGTCTCCATAGGTTTGTTTGGAGCCAGAACCAGCCCCGCCGTAGCTCACGTCAACAGAGCAGTGCAGAGCTGCCCCCTGGAGCTTCCAAGGCTGTAATCCTGTGGAGTCAGACTGCCACGTCTTTCTCCCACAGAGTGCCTGGGGGGTTTGAACCACTGACCTTTCTGCTCTTGACCATGGTACGCCCAGGGTACAATTGGCCATGAACCCAAAGGGCCGGGCCCATTTCTATCCAGTCATTCCGACTCATAGGAATGAATAGGACAAAGTGGAACCGGCTCTCGGGTTCCCAGAGTTGCAAGTCTTCTAGAAGCAGGCAGCCACTTGTTTATTCTGCAGAGCAGCTGCCTGGTCAATTTGAACGGCCAACCTTTCAGTGAGCAGCCAAGTGCTTAGTCACTGTGCCACCCGGGTTCCTTCCATCAGCCATGAGGATGAGGCAAATAAGTACAGTGAGAGGTGAACTCCCCTCCCTTAGAGGAGCGGCAGCAGGTGTTGGTGAGGTAGAGGTGGGGGAGCTGACACCCCCCACCCCCCAGGGCAGGTGAGAACACAAAGTGGAGCAGCCACTGTGGGAAAGAGCTGGCTGGTCCTTCGGCAGTTGAGCTCAGGAGTGTCCTATGGCTTGGGAATCTCAGTTCTAGGCCGGTACCCCGGAGGGATGACAGCTGGGCATACACTCAACTGGAAGCCTGCACCCCCATGAGCACGGTGGCACGTTCCTGAGCCGGGGAAGCCTCCAGGATGAACGGGTAGACCAAGTGTGCTACAGACACACCGTGGCGTATTCCCCAACTAGAAAGAGAAACCGGGCTGTGTGGGCGACTAACCACATGGACGGTAGTTCGAAACCGGCCACTCTCTGGGAGGAAGAGGACACTCCCTACTCCTGTACAGAGTGACAGTCTCAGAACCCACAGGGGCAGTTCTACCCTGTCCTATAGGATCTATCCTGGTCAGAATTGACTCAGTGGCTGTGATAAAATGAAATGCAGTCTTGATTCAGGTCAACATATGGATTAACCTTGAGTATGTTATGCTGGGTAAAAAAGTCTGTTGCAAAAGCCCAAATACTATATCATCTTGTTTATTTGAAATCGGCAAATATATAGAAAGCAAAGCTTCTTCGTGGTAGCAGGGGGAGAGAGTGGAGTTTTGCTTAGGGAGCACTGAGCGTCAGTTCTGGTGATGGAACGGTTGGAGAGGACAGTAAGAGTGGTTGCACAGCGCGGACTCAAGGTCACTGTGATACCTGTGTTGCTGTGGCTGTTAGCTGCCCTCAGGCCCATCCCAACTCATGACAGCAACCCCGCCCCCCCCCCAAGAGTAGAACAGCTCCACAGGGAAGCCGTCTCCATGCTGCCTTCTAAAGTGCCTCAGGATGGGCTCAAACCACCAACCTTTTGGCTAATAGTCAAGCACTTAATTATATGCACCATCCAGGGACTCCTAGAAATTTTGGAATGCAGAATGCTGTGTATATTTCCACCACAATTCAGAAACAAACAAACCCAACCACCAACTCCCCATCAATTGCCAACCTTTCCCAGCCCAACACTACTCTCTTGACAACATCTGAGACCAGTTCACCCCCACGCTGGCGTCAGTGCCAGCCACCACTTTCAGACTGCGTGCCACCTCACATCAGCAGCCACTCCGCACCGCCTGCTCCTCCAGACCTCCCACCCACCTGCCACAGCCTCACATCTCTACCGCTCTACAACACGGAGTCACTCAATCATAGCCTACCAGTTCCGAACACCAACCACAGTCCTTTATCATTTAATACGACCCAAATTACCCACCCCTCCATGTCAACCTCCACACATCCGATTGGATCTCCCTTTGGACACATTTAAAGTTCTAACAGGTTTTTTACAAAATGAAGAGGAATTAGGTAAACACAGTGTGTTTGCCTTAATTATAGTTGGGTACTTAGCCAACTAGTTTATAAATTTTAAAAATAAAAATCAAGGTTTCATTTCACACACACACACCCCAAAAAGGGAGGGGAAATACATGTGGGTGAAGCTTCCGGTGAGTCTTCCCTGAACCCGGAGCAGGATGTGAACAGGCCTGCTGTCATACAGAGTACCCGGATGTGGATTATGGAGTGGAGCTAGGTTACAATCTAACACCTTATCAGTTGATCTCTCTTTTGACCCATTTTAATGTGTTTAATGTTTTCTTTTCAACCGGTGTTTTTCTCTATTTTATTTCATTATTGTTGTTAGCTTTTTTGACTCTCTATTTTTTTGGTACTCTTTGTTTGGTATGTTTCTGGTAATGAAATCCAGGATGGTGACTCTACAGAGACAGTAACTGGATTAATGGTTCCCAATAACAAGGAGTACAAGAAAAATGAAATATTCTAAAATTGATTGTGGGAGTGATTGTACGACTCCTGTGGACATTACTGAACTATTGAATTTATGATGTTTGGACTGTGTTCCGATGAAATTGTTCCATCAGCCTCCATTTAAAAGTACCTTCCAACGTAATAGTCAGCACTGCGCACCTCCGATGCGCAGTCCCACTGCCACTGAGCTGAGTCGGACTCACAGTGACCCTACAGGACAGGGTGGAACTGCCCCTGTGGTGGCTGAGACTGTGGCTCTTTAAGGGAGTCCAAAGCCTTCTTTCTCTTACCCAAATGCTCAACATTCCCTCCCGTTCACTGACCACTCAACAGTATTCCACCTCCTGCACCACCCATCAACATACTCTGCTAGTGCAAGCCAGATTCCACTCAACATTACCCACGCTTCTGTTCCAGCCTCCACTTCACACCGATTCCACATAGATTTAGAGCCTCAGAGACCCTAGGGAACAGTTCTACTCATAGAGCAATAGGCTTGGTTTTCAGTTATTCCTTTTCCATTCAACACTATCTAGACTCACCCTGTACACAATACTGTCTACCAACTCAGCATCACTCAACATCTCCATGGCCCCCACAAGCCCCCTTCTTACCGCTGGTCCCTAAGCTGTACATCATCATGTTGTCTCCACCCTGGGCATCCTCACATCCCACGTCCTCTTCTCGCCATCAGGCTCTATCATTCGTGGTCAACCACCCTCCCTCCCCCGGCCACCTCCGTTTCATCCCATGCGAACCACTGCCCACTGCCGTGCCTCCCCTGCCTACCTTATCTGGGTCGTAGGCCATCAGGGTGAGGTTCTCGATGGGGATGCGGGCCGAGGAATGCTCATACACGAAGCCAGTGAAGTTAACTTGGGCCTCTTCGGGGGTGAAGGCGCAGTTCAGGAAGGTGCAGTCGAAAAACTCAGGTTTGTGATCGTTGACATCTGTCACCCTCAGCGTGACCCATATGCTCACCTTGGCTTCTTGCCCATAGATGTTGAGTTGTTTCTCAGTAGCCTAATGGCAGAGAGCAGAGAGAACCAGGGTTTAGGGAGAGCTGGGATCAAAGGTCAAAGGTTAGGAAGTAGGGGTCCAGCAGGGGCCATGAAGTCTGGACTCACCGTGACCTGCACCTGCACCTCCTCGTCCTCATTCAGCAGCTGCTCACGGTCTAGGGAGCCATTGACGATGATGACCCCGTCGGACTTTATGGAAAACCAGCCCGGCCTTGTGGAGTCTGGTGAGGAAACAGGTGGAGCAGCTGCTGCCAGTGGCGCTGACAGAACCCCCACCCTGCCTCTGCCCCAGATCCCAGTCTAGGGGCACCCCATTCTCACTGGAGATGCTGTAGGTCACAGGATCATTGATGCCTTTGTCTCTGTCCACAGCCTCCACCTTCAGCACAGAGGTCCCCTGTAAGGAGGCAAGGTCAGGGCCCAGAGTCTTGCCTCGGTCCCCACCACCTCAACCCAAACGCCAGCAGGTCCTTCTGCACACCTCAGGGGCGTTCTCAGTCACAGAGGCCATGTACACCTCCCTGACAAACTGGGGGTCCAGGTCAGGCTGGTCAATCACCCTGATGGACAAGATGACGGTGGGGGAACACAGGATGGTTGTGTTGCTCATGCCCGTGTCTCCTGAGTCCTGGGAAGAGACACAGAGACCCTTCTGTGACCCAGGGCCACGGCCCCTTATGCCTCTTCGGGCCCCTGTGGCCACCTTACTCACACACGCCTTCAGCTCCAGCTGGTAGAAGGCGCTCTTGTTGTTATAGCTGAGGTGGTCGTTGAGCAGGATGGAGCCATTGGCCAGGATACTGAAGAGGCGCTGGTTGTCCGCAGTGTCAGGTATGACCTGGAGCAGAGCACATTTAGATCAGGCTCCCGTGGAACATATTGCTCCTGAGGACTTGGGTTCAAATCCCATAGGACAGACTGCCTCTGAGAGAGTTGGGTTCAAATCTCAGTCTGTCATTGACCGTAACCAAGTCATCTAGCCTCTCAGAGCCTCTGGGACGTGAAGCTTAGGCAACCAGCTCAGTGGGTTGCAGGCGTGTACACGGGAAGTTGGCGCTCAACCAACGGGAGCTGTAACTAGCGAATTTGCCATCATGAGAGCTGGGTTCAGACACCGCTTATTGTCTGTGTGACTTTGGACAAGACCCCGAGTCTCTCCGAGCCTGTAAAGGCAGGTGTGCTCCTGCCACCTGGCAGCGTGTCACGAATCTTCACCAAGGGCCTGTATAGTTCAGGGGGAAGAAGAGTCAGGTCCCCGTGGGAAACCTCCGTAAGAAAATAAGGCTCAAAAAGAGCCAGAGAGGGAGGGAGGGAGGGGAAGAGGGAGGGAGGAAAGGCAGGCAGGCAGGAAGGAAGGAAGGAAGAGAGGAAGGGAGGAAGGAAAGGCTCAGATGGGGTCCTAGGAAGGCTTGGGAACAAGACCTGGCCCATCCTCACAGCATCTTCATGGTGACTCCCAAGGGCTCTGCGGTTGTCTGGGGAGATGCTGCCCCCTGGTGGCTACCTGGAGTGGTCAGCGCACACGCTTAGCCCTGATCCTCCCATTTTCATACTCACCTTCTCTATGGAGTACACCACCAAGCCCCCAAGCCCCGTGTCTTTGTCAACAGCCAACACAGTGGTCACCACAGAGCCGACCGGCAGGGTCTGTGAAGAGGGATTGGTCACTTGTCAGTATAAATCCATCTCTACTTCCTTGTCAGCCGCCTCCCTCTCTGAGTCGGCTGCCTGGACTCAACCACAGGAAGCGTGGTAGCACCTGACGGGGTCTGCGATACAGGAGACCCCCAGACCTTCCCTTCCCTGCTGGCTGGCTGGGGCTTCTGCAGGCAGAGGGCCAAAGTCCTCACCTTCTCTCCCCACACAGCCCACCGCCCGCCTGGCTGGCTTCTGTTTTGCAAGGACCCAGATAATAGACCGTCCCAACCAAACTCATGGAGGACTAGGCCTCTCCCCTCCTCAAACACCCTTGGGGATTGTAAGAAAAAGGTGAGCCCATCTGCCACTCCCAGGAAGACTTACAACCTCAGAAACCTCTATCAGGTCACTGTGAGTTGGAATCAATTGACGGCAGTGGACTTGGGTTTTTGTGAGTTTTGCCTTCAGAAGCTGGCCCCGGGACTTCCACCTGGTGGCAAAGGACTGCCTCGTGCTCACGCTTAAAACCCATTGGTGGGCTTCCCTTCTGCCCAGAATACAGTCTAGCTTGTGTCCAGGGTCCCATTGCCTTCAGGCCACTGCCCACCTCTCTGGTTTCACCTGCTCCACACTCTCCATCTTCCAACCACACTCCCCTCCTAGCTCAGAGCACTACAAGCTGACTCCCACCTCGAGCCCGGCCCTTGCTGGCCCTCTGCCTGGAGCAACTTTTCCTGGAGCTATCCAGGGACTGTCCCTTCTTCCCATTCAGGTCTCAGCTCAGCGATCACCTACTCAGAGAACCTTTCCTGGACATTCCGCCCCAGCCACCATCTTCCACCTTACTCTGTTTTCTGTTCGCCACACAGCTCACAGTTGCCATCTGATATCATCCTGCTGATTCTATGTCTTTTTAAAAAAAATCAATTTATTGGGGGCTTCTACAACTCTTATCACAATCCATCCATCCATCCATCCATTGTGTCGAGCACATTTGTTGCCATCATTTGCAAAACATTTTCTTTCTACTTGAGCCCTTAATTCTATGTCTTCTTGGGCAGCCCCCATTCTTCCCTAGAGACTGAGCCTCTGAAGGCCAAGGGAGGTCGTCCTGATCGCCCTGTAGCCTCAGCACTAAGAGAGCGCCTGGCACACAGTAGGTGCAACTAGACCTAGTGGAATGACGGTCTGAACCTCTCTGGCCTAATGTGAAGCCCCCACATCTTCAAGTCCTCCACACCACGTGACAATTCTAGCGTGGTGATTTGGGTTTGCTGACCAGCAGCCTGTGGGAAACTCCCTGCGCCCCCACTCCCCAGGGACTGCTTCTTCCCAGGAAGGCCTGTGATATGAACCTAGCAAATGGTAGCATCTCATAGCCTTGATTGGTCCAACGGTGGACCTGTGACCCTAAATGGGCCAATGAAAGTCAGCCCTGCAGTTTTGACTGGCACCATGGAGCAACAGAGGGTCTCTTCCCATTGAAGTCGCAAAGCGCATGGGATATAAATCTAAAGCAGGTGGGGACACTTTTCACACCACAGGAGAGACCCACCCCCTCCCAGTCTCTCCCTCCCATTCACTCCCAGGACAGGCAACAAGAGAAGCAGACTGAGAGGTGGGGAGGAACCTCTTCTTGATGCCCTGGTTTGAGCACCTGGACTCAGCCAGAGCTGAAGCCAAAGTACCTCTAAATGTTTCTGATGCATGGGAATATAAATTCCTTGCTTGCTTGGTTGTTTACTTTCATAACTCAAAGCATTCTAATCCAGTATGATTGCGCACCAAAGACTGTTGTAAAATTGTTCTTAGATCATGTCCTCCTCTACCCCCTCCCCCTGGATTTTCCTTCTGAGGCTATCCCATGATGGCCATCTCTGGTCTTTTCCACCACACAGAAGGGCTTCTGATGGCCTCCCCCCTGCATGTACACACACACACACACACACACACACACACACACACACACACGGGAAACTGAGAACCAGGAAGAGGGTGCATGCGGGCAAATTCTCGACACCCATATTTAAAGAGCTTGGGAGGCCGAGACTCGGGTAGAGAGAGGCCTAAATGCTCGTGAGTTGGAGACAAATCCCAGTCACCTTCTCCTAACTAAAAGTTATTCCCCACAATGCCCCCCCATAATAACGCCAATTTTAAGATGCTGCTTGCAAGCACATGATTGCTACTAGATGCTTGAAGGTTATCTGTCTGAAGGCTGTCTGCCATCCAGAGCAATCCGACCACACAACCTAAGTCCGGCCCACTCCTTGGTTCCAGTCTCCATGGAAGAGGTGAGCCCGTGCAGGCCTTGTCTGATGCCTCATTAATGTGCCTTTCAATTTCACAATTGCCCCTTAGGCCCCATTTGGTTGTGGAGGCTGTCCCCCCCCGTCCCCCCACACACACACACTTTTCACACATGCGTTACCTCGTTGATGCTGATGGAGAAGCTGGTGTTCTCAAAGACAGGAGCGTTGTCATTTCTATCCTCCACCAGCACCTGCAAGGTCTTCTGCTCCTGCAGGTGAGAAAGTCCAGGTGCGTCTAGAAACCGTGAGTTCATGAGAAAATCAAGCAGGAGAGGGTGGCGAGGAGTGCAAGGTGGCATGACCACTCAGGAGGGCAGCTAGGTAGGCATTGTGTAATCAGTTGTCTCCTGAAGCCCCGAGTTATCTCCTTTGCCACAGCGCCACCACACACGACAGACGCTGCTTTGACGTGTCCCAGAGCAGCATCCGGTGCGCCCGGCCTATGCCCGGATGCACTGCGCCGTGGATTCATTAGCAGTAACCTCAGGACCGACAGTGCGGGGCCTCGTGCCCAAACGAAGCTCATTTTCTCTGTAAGGCACGCCACGTCTTCTCGCCCTTAGGAACGCTAGCCAGCACGTCAGGGTCACACAGGGGCCTCCGACGTGGCAAAAACGCCAACAGAATAAAAAAATGCCACAGAAAAGTGCCACTACCCAGACCAGGGGTTCTCAACCTTCCTTATGCTGTGTGACCCTTTACTACAGTTCCTCGTGTGGTGGTGACCCCCCAACCATAAAATTATTTTCATTGCTATGTCATCACTGTCATTTTGCTACTGTTATGAATCCGGCGACCCCTGTGAAAGGGTCATTCGACCCCCACAGGGGGCACGACCCACAGGTTGAGAACCGCTGCCCTAACCCCTGACAAGGACATTTGTTTACAGTCTGAGAGTTGAACAAGAAAGCAGATCGTGCCCTGGTTCTGCTGCAGCTGGATGTGTATGCAGAGTGATTCCGATTTCCTGCTCCTTGGGGTACGTCCACCCGTAGTATGAACATGTTAGCTGGTGATTTGGGGGTTACAAATGAATTTTAGTTGAGTCGGCAAAATCACAAGTAGGCGGCCAGAACCCAAGCATAACAAAGACTGACAGTCGTTTCAAACTCCAGAGAAGTTGCAGATCTAGAACAAGGAGCCCCGGAATCCGCCTTGGGTTTCTGTCTTTCCGTCCTTCTGTCTGACGCGTTATCGTTATCAAGAGGCAATTCGCTTCCTTTCTGTTTTCAAGGGACCATGGGCCCAGCCCATCACAGGACTGCCCCTTGGGGCTCTGTTTCCCTGGAGCAGAGCTGTGAACAGCCCCGTGGCCCGCAGCAGGAGAACCCAGAAAGCTGTCTGTGGGCACCGGCATGGAGAGATGGCAAAGACCCGCCATGGGGTGGGGGGTCGGAGACAACATGTGGGGTTTGTGCAAGAGCCTGCCATGTGAGCCTTGGAAGGCCCTCTTTCTGCTGTGCAGGCATGCAGGAACCGATGTGTGCACAGGAGGGGTGGGCCGGCCTGGGGCGCGTGGACACGTGGGCATGAGAATGAGCTGTGATGACTTGTCAAGGGGACTTCCGCCTTATCTGCCACGTTTGAAAGACTCCTAGAGAGAGCGAATGTATCCCTGAAGATCCAGGTAATTAAAACTGTGGATCAAATGATGATCCCTCCACCACCACCCCAAAAACCAAACAAATGTGTCTTCGAATCCTAACCTCCAGACCTGTGGATGTAGACAGACTCTTTGGGAAACAGGTAATTCTTTGCTACATTCATAAATCATACTGGAGGAGGGAGAGAGAAACCAACGAGTGGCCAGTGAGGGGATTCCGGTTCACAGAGACTCGGTGTGCAAGTCTTGAGTGTGTGTGTGTGTGTGTGTGCGCGCGCGCACATGAGAGAGAGAGAAGTGTGCTCCGAAGGGCTTCCAGAGGCTGATGTGTAGGGCAGTAGACTGCCAGGCCTTTCTTGCAAAGCGTTGGCTCAAACTGTCAACTTTTGGGGTTCGTACTTGAGCCCTTCATCATCTGTACCACCCAGGGGCTCCTTACCTGAGTACGGTGGGCCCTAAAGCTAATCCTCTCAGACTTATTTTACACAATATTGTGTAAATATTTTCCACAGTAGATTTTATGCGCGCGCGCACACACACTCACAGTGGATTGACACCGTGGTGGCATCGATAGGCCCAGGCATAGGAAACAAGCGTGAGGATGTCGCAGGACCGTGCAGTCTTTCAATCTGTTGTGCATAGGGTCCCTATGGGCCGGTGCCCACTCGATGGCACCTA